AGCGAACTCGTTGGATATAATACAAATCCCTTAATAGTCACATTTCTCACCAGTACCATAGACCTACTCGTCACCATCACTATCATAAGCCTATTCGTCACCATCACCATAAGCCTACTAAGAATCATCAGCATTACAGGCTTACTCCTCTCCATCACCACCATAAGCCTACTCATCACCATCATAGGCCTACTCCTCACCATCACCACCATAGGCCTACTCCTCAACGTCACCACCATGGGACTACTCCATCATCACCACTATATACCTATTCACCACCATAGGCCTACTCCTCACTGTTACCATCATAGGCCTACTCATCATTACAACCATAGGCCTACTCATTACCACCACCATAGGCCTACTCATTACCACCCTAGACCCATTAGATCTGATGTATACTGTACAACAACTACGACACATTAATTGTTCTAGTTTGTCCTTATGAGCTGCAGCATTGGCGGGGTGGATAACGCTATCACGGCTGACGGAAGTGTGTGTGTGTGTTGTGGTGTGTGTGTGTGGTGGGTGTGTGTGTGTGTGTGTGTTGGGGTGTGTGTGTGTGTGTGTGTAATTGGACAGTCACCACCATGAGTTTTTGCTTCCTCTTGCGTGTAGTCCCATTAATTCATACACCCCCCCCAGTGAGAGAGCCGAGTGTTCCTGTAGTTCTCATCTCATCTTTCTCACTGTAAACAATAATATTACTCTATATAGTCATGTTTCTTTTCCTTACTGTAATGAAAGCTTTTGTTAAACGACCCATTTCTCCTCATGTCACTGTATGCAATAAGTCATTCTGTCCACTGTGTATATTCAGTCCCTTTTCGCTTCTTAAAGCGAGACAGATTGTATGAGTATGGAAACACAGAAGAAGGCAGAGCATTCCACATTTTGGCTGTGTGAGGAGAGAAGGATGTACTATAACGGGTTATTATAGTGTGACCGACATCCACAGAAAAATGGTGGGCACCGCGGGCAAGACGTGTGTTACGAGCCCACGGCCTTGCCGGCGGTACACAGGATGCCAAATCCACCGAACATTGTCCGTTAAAGTACCTGTAAAAGAGAGAGAGTGAAGCAACATTGTGGCCAAGAGAAAGGGAAGAGATATTGTCGACGAAATGCCTTTGATTCCACCCTATCTAACAGTTGGACAGAAGAGCCACCCCAGATATGAGAGCAGTACTCCAAGTTAGGACGAATGAATCCCTTATATACATGAAGCAAACTCCTCAGAAGTGAAGTAGCTGCGGCATATGTACAGCATTCCCAGCTTTTGGGAGGCAACTTTAGCAATGACGTGGATGTGTGGCTTCCATGACAGAGGAAATGGTGAGGCTTAACATATCTATTTTAGAATTTGACAGAATGATTACGTCCTGAAATGTAATTGGTGGGAGATCTTCTATTTCGGAAAGTGTAATTGGTAAATATAGTATACTGTACTGTGTTATATTACTATTGAATTTAACCAAGTTTCTACCTCCCCATTCAGAGATGCTGCACAGATCCGCATTAATGTATGATATGAGCTCTAGAAATAGATCTAGTTTGAGAATTACGGGGAGGGAAAAATGTGAAGAGTAGAATCATCAGCGTAAGAATGGATAGAATTAGCGGTCGTGTGAGATATGATTATTATTTGGTTGGGTTAAGTTAGGTCGGGTCGGGTCATGTTAGGTTAGGTTAGGTTAGGTCGGGTCATGTTAGGTTAGGTTAGGTTAGGTCGGGTCAGGTTAGGTCCATGTTAGGTTAGGTTAGGTCGGTTAGTCGGGTTAGGTCGGGTTAGGTTAGGTTAGGTCAGGTCAGGTCGGTCATGGTTAGTTAGGTCGGGTCATGTTAGGTTAGGTTAGGTTAGGTCGGGTCATGTTAGGCCATGTTAGGTTAGGTTAGGTCGGGTCGGGTTAGGTTAGGTCGGGTCGGGTCGGGTTAGGTTAGGTCGGGTCGGGTCAGGTTAGGTCGGGTATCTTTTGGTCTTATAATAGCCACGTCTTAAGACTCCAAGACCTGGGCACGACACTCTAAAGTCTTAAGTATCAGTCAGTCTTTGGGGCTGAGTTGACTGACATCTTCTCCTCCCACAGTAACCACATAAAGTCGGGTTAAATCCCTTAAATTCTTATAGATTTGTAAAATAAAACCCCGTCCACATTCTCTCCTGCGGGGTTGTTATTGGCTGGATGAAAAGACCAATGATAATTCACGATTTAGAGTCCATTTGGTTATCAGTTGAGTGAGGCAGGCAGACGGGGGTGGGAGGGAGAGGGGGGTTGGGGAGGGGGAGGAAGTGGAGGTGGGAGGGGAGTAGGAGGAAGTGGGAGGGGAGGAGTGGGAGAGTGAGTGGGAGGGCAAGCGGCAGGAAGGGCGGGGCATTTACTCCATATGAGCAAAAAATAAAAAAATAAAATAAAAAATAAAAAAACTCCTATCAAGTGTTGGCAGTTCTCCTCTTATGAAATCCACTTTTAAACAAATGTAATAGTTTGGCCAGAGTGATTGTGGCAGTCTACCTTGACTTAGTTCAGCTACACCACGACATCCATCCATGAGAGAGAGAGAGAGAGCTGAAGTTTACCTAATAACATCGTAGAGCGGTGAGGCTGCAGCATGAAGACGATGGCTGTGTAATAAAAACTCATAATCACACACACACACACACACACACACACACACACACACACACACACAGCTATGTACACCAGCCCGCAATCCACCTGCCGCGGTAATTTCCCTCCCATCAACACCACCACCATCATCACACTGACCCACATCAACACACACACACACGTTTCTTTTTTTACACGTGAGGGAATTGTATTTTTGTATTAATAATTATAGCTTTACGGAACATACACAAAAAATCCCTCACCAATCTTATTTATTTAACAGCCTGAACATGTACCAATGCCATGCATGAAAATAACCCCCCGACACAAAAAGTGCCCAGATTCTGAATTATTTCCACTGAGTCATTCCTCTTAGATAAAAAAAGTAAAAAAAAATTACCAAATTAGTTGACTTGCCTAATTAGTTAAGGTAAAACACGATTATAATCTCAAACAACATTATTTAGGTTACACAGATAAGACACTCAGCACCAGTTAAAGAGACAGTCTACGTCACCAGTTAAAGAGACAGTCTACGTCACCAGTTGAAGAGACAGTCTACGTCACCAGTTAAAAGAGACAGTCTACGTCACCAGTTAAAGAGACAGTCTAAAGAGACAGTCTACGTCACCAGTTAAAGAGACAGTCTACGTCACCAGTTAAAGAGACAGTCTACGTCACCAGTTAAAGAGACAGTCTACCTCACCAGTTAAAGAGACAGTCTACATCACCAGTTAAAGAGACAGTCTACGTCACCAGTTAAAGAGACAGTCTACGTCACCAGTTAAAGAGACAGTCTACGTCACCAGTTAAAGAGACAGTCTACGTCACCAGTTAAAGAGACAGTCTACGTCACCAGTTAAAAGAGACAGTCTACGTCACCAGTTAAAGAGACAGTCTACGTCACCAGTTAAAGAGACAGTCTACGTCACCAGTTAAAGAGACAGGAGGATAATAACAAACAAACAAAAATCACCATAAATAAATAAAAAAATAAAATAAAAAATCTAGCAGTGGTTGGGTTAACTTTTCATGCCAGTTATAGATAATAAATGGGAGTAAACACAGGATAACTAGTTAATTACTGAAGGATATAACAATTAAACCAAGACACTTAACACGACCACAGGTAGGTGTGTGTGTGTGTGTGTATGTGAGCCCCCAACCCTGCATACACCTTCACACACCATACATACGAGCACTCTAACCTATGTACTCGTTCATTAACCTGTTCATTAAGTAAACCAGAGGAGGAAAGCAAGAGTCGACCAACACACTGTGACTCTCACCAACACAATGAGGAACTTGGTTAACGGGATAATTGTTTTCCTACTGAAGTAATTATCAACACAAGGCTAGAGAGGAATCGTGTGTTGCAGCAGTACTGTTGTGAGGTTGGTTTTAATGTGTTAACTTATTGCAACACTATTGAAGTTTCTGAATAAAATCATATAAAGAGGAATGGATCACCTGTTATATCACACACACACACACACACACACACACACACACACACACACACACACACACACTACTACTACTACTACTACTACTTAGCTGTCACTCGGAATCAAGTATGACGATCATCCAGCTATGATACAATGATGTGAGTTATTAGGGATGTCACCTAGGTTGGTGAGTTTTGAGATGACTAAAGAGGCCGATACGGGACCGGCAGAGTCGTTCATAGAAGTTGCACATGTGGAGGGCTACATTTACTGCGGGAGGGGAGGCGGCAACGTCTTTCCGGCGTTGGCGCTTGTCTGCCTCGGTATGCAGTCGGGCTAACTCGAAAGTATTGACACCTTGCGTGGTGCTCCTCCAAGCGTTACGGTGTGGAGTAATCGTCTCCCAGGTGAGGGGGTCGATTTAGCCCTTGTTCAGGCTTGTCTTAAGACGATCCTAATACCTCTTCAGTTACTCGCCAGCGTTACGTTCACACACACACACGGGTTTACCAGTAGCACCAGTGTTAACCTTCACCTCAACACATCATGTCTCTAGTGGGTTACTATATATCATGTCACTAGTGGCAGGTTATATTTACACGATCATTCCACTATTATTTCGTTCACCTGTAACAAATTTCCCCTCATTTTGTTCACTCAGGGACTAAAAGGTGTTCAATTATGTGAAATATAGAATTACCAGACCTATGACAGGATGTTAAATATATACAGTAAATTTGCTTAGGTTAGGTTAGACTAGTTTAGAGTAGGTTAGGTGAAGTCTGATCACACACTCTGGTAAAAGGTAAGGTAAGGTAAGGTAAGGTAAGGTAAGGTAAGGTAAGGTAAGGTAAGGTAAGGTAAGGTAAGGTAAGGTAAGGTTAGGTAAGGTAAGGTAAGGTAAGGTACAGATGACCTAAAAGAACACAATATGGTTACTCACGCCTCGCAGTAGGGCAGCTTGTTATAGCCCTTATAGGTCTTCATGCTAAGGGTCATGGCACACTCCTGGCACTTGAAGCAGCCTTTATGCCATATCTGTTGAAGTCACGAGAGAGAGAGAGAGAGTGAGTGTTATTATCGGGGCTGGGTTCATGGTGTGTGGGTGTGTGTGTGTGGGTGTGTGTGTGTGTTACATTTAGATCTACATATACAAGGATACACACTCATACGGATTATGTACACTCACACTAAAATACACTCACGTTTAAACACTCAAGCGATATGCACACACATACATACAAATATACGGGAAAAAAAATTACACACACAGAGTTATTAACACTAATACTGTCCCTATTAACAGTACAGCTAGGTATAGATATTGACCCTTGAACCAATTTTATTATTTTGATGATTGATAACTGTGGTAGCGGCTATATAGGTGCAGTCCCCTTCACTAGTGCGTTTACAGGGGCTCGTTATATAAACATTCCCACAGATCATTATCATGGAGATATTTGTTTTAATATTGTTTTACTTTGATATCATAGTGCGTTTACTTCTGGGAGCTTCCTCGAATGTAAACAAACACAGCCAGACGAGCCCCTGTAAACGCACGAGTGAAGGAGATTATACCTGGTAAAGAATAGTCAAGAAAAATTTTTATAATTTTAATATTAATAGTCAAGAAACTTTGATATTCGCCTTGTCTGTTGCTTATTTTTCTAACCTAACCTAACCCAGAGCATGACAGTTAACCAGACGAATCTATTTAACGAAACTGAAAAAAATAATAATAATAATATTAAAACCAAGTTGGCAGCCCAGTGTATGACGGGGACCAGTTGGGTGAATTCACTACACACGTTCGATGGTAACCTGACCCAGACGCTATTGTGAAAGACCTTATTAAATCAAGGCAGAAATACCCGCAGGTGGGTGCCTATATGTGGGCTTGTGTGGGGAGATGTTAACATGTGGGTGGGTGTGGGTGGGGTGTTAATATGTGTGGGTGGGGTGGGGTGTTAACGTGTGTGGATGTGGGGTGTTAACGTGTGTGGATGTGGGGTGTCAGAGAGAGAGAGATTTGACGTAAATAAGAAGAAAAAAATTATGATAATTCATATGTATTTTAAAGATTGAAATTAAATTGGGCTGTGGTTTAGGTTAGGTCAGCTTAGGTCAGCTTAGATTAGATTAATTTGTACTTAATATTTGCACTTCATTCTCTTACGGTACTGAACTTAACACACTTAAACCATTTCTGTAACTAAAAAGAGAAACTTCCTGTACTGACTAACAGACTTAACCTTACTTATAAAAGATATACAAGTAAATAATAACTACAAGTGCATGAAAGAGAAACTTACATACTTAAAACTGCCATCGTACTTATAAAACGCGGTCGGACACACATACACCCACACGGAAACACCAACATACACACACATGGCATCAGTAATATCCAACATCCGCTTCCCAGTGTGGATAAAAACACATCCACCCATTGATAAAAGAATGAAGGTAGAGGACTCTTAACACACTACAGGATATAAGTACTAGGCTGACTGTGACCTCCACTCTGTGACTCCACTCAGACTTCCCTTAGGCACCAGTTCTCCATTCTTAAATTTCATCACACCAACGCGCGACCTTACACACACACACAGGAGGAGGAGGAAGAGGAAGGAGAGGAAGAGGAATGAGGAGGAGGAGGAGGAGGAGGAGGGAGAGGAAGAGGAATGAGGAGGAAGAGGAAGGAGAGGAAGAGGAAGGAGAGGGAAGAGGAAGGAGAGGAAGAGGAATGAGGAGGAGGAGGAGGAGGAGGAGGGAGAGGAAGAGGAATGAGGAGGAAGAGGAAGGAGAGGAAGAGGAAGGAGAGGACGAGAGTAATCTTCATGTTATCCAAACCTACACTCAAGCTTACGGAAATATTGACGATTTTGAACGTGAGTCACTGGATATGTTTACAGTACAGGGACAGGGGGGGGGGAGGTGGGGAACGGGGAGATGGGTGAAGGCCATGGATGTTTTAACGGGGGAGTTGGAGGAGGAGAAGCTAGTACCCACCCAACCTCCTACCTCCCCCCCATCTACCCACACCTCCTACCCCTATAGAAGAACCTCCCTATCCTAGAAACTGTGCCGGGCCTCGTTAACACACATTCCCCCGCCCCGCCCCGCCCCGTGGAGATCAATGCTTTACGGTGACCACAAAAATAATAATAATAATAAAAAATAAATTAATAAATAAAAAAATAATAATTCGTAAGGTGAATAAGTCATTGTTATTAAAGATACGACAAAGAAAAACAAATGAAGTAACGAATCGACCTAAGTTAAAAAGACACTGGAAATAACAGAGGAGACAGTCTACCAACCCCTTGTGTACGAGCTGAATAAAATCGTCTGTCGTTAGCCAAATAAAACACTATAAAATGGCGCCCCTGTAGTGAAGGAGTTAACTACAGTATTTATCTAGTCGCCAATTCATCCATGGTTGGGATTTGGTTAATGTGGCGAGATGCAGAACAGAGGGCGAGCCATGACCTCTACAATGACCCACGACCTGTACAATGACCAATGACCTCCACAATGACCCACGACCTGTACAATGACCTATGACCTCCACAATGACACGTCTTCATATGTCCTTCACGACGAGTTTCTTCCATAAAGTGAAAAATAACATCTGAATCTGAGCTAAATATTATACAAATCCTTCCCTGTCTTGGCACACTGTATACTAACCCTTCACTCCACATGGCCAGTACCGCCTTCTTCACCAAGTTGTAAAATCAAATTACCGGTACTCATTTACAGTTGGGTGAACTGGGAGTGCCACCCGGGAATCAAACTACTGATCCTAAGAACAGGAGGCAAGTGCTGTTACACGACTCACTCTTAACTAGTACGATCTCTTCAAAGCCATGGGGAGAACGCTAAGCTTATCCAAGAGAAAATAATCACTGCTATAACTCGTGTGTGTGTGTGACCGGACCTACAGATCACCTTAAGATTAGCCAAGCAGTTTATTTCACCTGGTAATTGGACACAGCTGCTGAGCCTCCCACAGGTAAAGCGAGTCATTGTCTGAGTGAACCCCTATCAAGGTGTCATGATCTCGTGTGCTGTGTGCCCTTGGTACCAACAACTCTGTTATGATATTGTGAATTTAACCCGTGATAATACAGTTAACTTTTAAATAACTTGTAACTTATAAATAATATATAACTAATCAATAACTAGTATCTAATAAATACCTTGTAACTAGTAAATACTCTGTAACTTGCAATCCCTCCTACTGTAACTCTCAATTGATCTACATAACAGTGCGAAAAGCATTACCGCTACCTGGGAGATTAGATTAGATTAGGTGAGGTGAGGTAAAGTGAGGTGAGGTAAAGTGAGGTGAGGTAAGGTGAAGTAAGGTGAAGTTAGGTGAGGTTAAGATTGGTTAAGTTAGGTTACGTTAGCGTGGTTAATCTTAAGTGAAATAAAGTGAAGCTAGAGAAAGAGAGAGAGAGAGAGAGAGAGAGAGAGAGAGAGAGAATAATCGTAATGTAATTCAATGCTACTTAGGAGAATGCTAATCTGGCTCACTCGACTCCATGACAACACTATACCAAACCACAACAACCATATACTGCTTTCTAGTGGGTTTCTAAACTGTACAATGCACCAGAAAAAAACCACGACTTATTCTCTGTTTTGTTTCTAACTTTATAATCAACCATAAGACGTTTTCTAAAGCTCTCTAAACTGAAGAAAATCACCAATTCTCACGTATGTCAGCTGACGAGAACACGACAGCATGGCGATGGCTGTTGTCCCACATGCCTCCCTGTACCATCCACAACAGCTGGTCAACTGGGCAATATAAACACGCCTCAGTCCTCCCGATTACAGCCACGCCACACCTTATATTGTATCAGCTGGACTGAGTGAATGTAAACATGGGTGTGTGGTAAAGATGTGTGTGTACTGTTGATGTTGTTTCGGGAATGTATAGTGATAACATATGTGTGTGTGTGTGTGTGCACCTATGTCTGCTATAATAATCACCAATCTGACTCCTCGCCAATTTTGTATGGCGTCCCCCAAGGTTCCATTCTCGGTCCAGTACTGTTTATGCTGTACATAAACGATATAGTCCACGCCAGCTCACTCATAAAATACAACTTATTTGCAGATGAAAGTAATGTCTATGCCAGCAACTCAGACCTCCACTCCTTGATGAGAACTATGAACACTGAATTGACTAAAGTCAGGACCTGGGTAATACGTAATAAACTGACCTTAAGCCTTGAGAAAACCCACTACACGATCTTTCACAGAAGGAAAAACTTACTCCCAGACTTGGACCCCCTGTACCTTGGTAAAACAGTCCTCAAACGTGAACAAAATACGAAATTCCTAGGAGAGTAATGGTTAATGAGAAACTTAACTGGAGAAACCACATACAAGCCATTCACAGTTAAGTTAATAAACAGTGCGGTATCATGCATCACACACAACAGTCACTCACTCTCACAGCAATGAAAGAAATCTATCATGATCTTGTTTACCAACACCTGATACACTGTCACACACTATGGGGGGTAGACATGAGAATGTGATTTGTTCCTGGTGTTTTGATACGTTATGTGGTTCCTAGTACCGCCCCCCCCAATCCCCCCCCTCGCCTCTACTCCCCTCCTTCCCCCCCTCTCTACTCCTCACCCTCATCTCTACTCCCCTCCTTCCTCCCCCATTGTCTCTATTCCACCTCCACACTCCCTCTCCCTTATACTCCCCACGGTAACAGGGGTCCAAGGCAACACCCTGTAGACATCACCCACACCAACAGACGTCACCCACCAGCAGACGTCACCCACCCACGAACGTCACTCACCAACAGTCACCCACCAACAGACTACACCCCATCAACAGACTCACCCACCAACAGGCCATTCCGCACACCAACAGACGTCCACTTTCCGCAACAGACGTCACCCACCAACGAACGTCTTACAGACGTCACCCACAGCAGACGTCACTCACCAACAGACGTCACCCCACCAACAGACGTCACCCGCAGCAGACGTACCCCACAC